AAAGTCCCAAAGACTTGGATTGACTTTAAACATGTGCCCATCTCTGACCCAATCCCCATGGCCAGAGAAATAAGATACTTTGGTCATCTAAGCCTGAGTCACAGTCTCACTGTTATGGCTGGAGAGGTTTTAGCGGTTCAGCCCTTCCAAAACAACATGGTAGTGTGGAAAGGTGGTTTCTGGGTACTGGGTGGACCAAAGCAACAGGTGTCCACCAAAATGATTCGAGGAGTGACAGACGACATGAGTTAATGTCCCAGCCTTGAGGCTTTTGAAGGAGGGACTAGGCCTTCCAATCATGCCATCGTGATTCACTAGGCTGGTGAAGGCTCTCAGCATGCTCAGGGAAGTGGCAATTCCAGAATTTATATGTCCCTTTTTTGGAGAGCTACAGCAGCCCATGTTGGAGGGTACAGAGGATCCCATTCTCAACAAATCACCCCTTGGAATGGCCACTGGCTGGGACAGGGAGGTGATATACCAAATCCAGCCTCTACACAAAAAGGTTGCTCCAACCAGGCGGTATTCCAGAGCTCAGAGGGCCTGATAGAGACCTTCCTCTTCTGTTCATCTCCTCTTGTTACCTGGGTGTCAGTCCTCCTGAGGAAATCCAAAGGGTGGCTCAGTCAACAGGCCGTGACTCCATGTCACTTTTTAGGGACAGCTTTTGTCATACACTCTCTGTGTTTCTGTCTTTCTGCATATATGTCTTTGTGTCAAATTCACAGACACAGCTATGATCCACTTGGCTAAAAGAACACAACACACCCTTCATCTGCTCAGTGAGCATTGAAATTCCACCACTTACAGAGTTATTCCCCTTGCTTACAAATGATCTCTCAAGGGCACCTGGGTGGCCCAGTCAATTAAGCATTCGACTCTTGATCTCAGCTCAGGTCATGATCTCACAGTTTGTGCAGTTGTGCTCTATACTGACAGTATGGAGCTTGCTTGGGATTCTCTCTCCTTCTCTCTCTGCCCTCCTGTGCTTTCTCTCTCTCTCTCTCTTCTCAAGAATAAATAAACTTTAAAAAATTATCTCCTCTTAAAAATGCTAATCCCCCAGGAGACGAAATCTTGTGGCATATTGTTAATTTAGTTTTTACATTAGTAAGAATAAGCTTGTCAGGCTCTTTCATTAGAAAGGCTTCTGATGAGAAACGCTGACTCTCTTATTAGAGTCTAGTAACTAGATAGTGGGATCCTAGGCTGTAGTTGTATCTGATTGATATTTGAGACATCCTCCTAGTCCAGACCTTCCATAGAGCAAGTTCTCACTACAGGTTTTTTATGTGAATAATCTTCAAGTTACCTTCAAATTCCCAGGTAAGCTGTAATATACACAGTTAAAAGTGGTAATATGCTGGGTACGAGGAAGAACCAAGGAGGCGTAATCATGTCTGGGCTTAACCTAGAACTATAGTGAAGGAGTCTAGGATGGAATAGAAACCCCAAATTCAGGAGATTCTGGAAACCGGAACAGGAAGCAACCAGAACAAATTTCGTGATCCGGGTTACTAAAAATCCTGATGAGGGCATCAACCTTCCAGTAGGATGGAGTATGGAGACCTCTGTTACTAAAAATCCTGATGAGGGCATCAACCTTCCAGTAGGATGGAGTATGGAGACCTCTGAGCTGACGTTAGCTGACTTTGGGGGGCACATGACACAGATAGCATCGGGGCTACCCCCAGCTGGCATAGAGCTCATTCATTTGCCTCCAGTGCCACTCAAATCAGGATAAACCTTTTAATTTTTTTAACGTTTATTTGTTTTTTTAACGTTTCTTTAAACGGTTTTTTTTAACTTTTTTTTTTTTTTAACGTTTATTGAGAAAGACAGAGACAGAGTGTGAGCAGGGGAGGAGCAGAGAGTGAGGGAGACACAGAATCTGAAGTAGGCTCCAGGCTCTGAGCTGTTAGCATAGAGCCTGATGCAGGACTCAAACTCATGAATTGTGAGATCATGACCTGAGCCTAAGTGGATGCTTCACAGAATGAGCCGCCCAGGCGCCCCCAGGATAAACCTTTCAAATGCATTTCCTAAAAGGCAATATAATGTAGTGATTAGCAGCCAAATGCCTGGCACCCTACTGTTGAGGTATATATTCTAGCATGGCTGTGTATGGCTACATGACCTTGGGCAATGCACTGAACTTCTCTGTCCTCAGTTTTCTCACCTGAAAAATGGGTGTAATAGCAGTTCTCAACTTGTAGGGTGGTTTTGAGGAATTACATAAATTAATATACATAAAAAGTTCAAGATGAGTCTTGACATATGGAAAGAACTACATGCTTAGCTCCTTTTCTTATTTCTCCAAAGTGACTGGGGGAAAGGACAATATAATCAGAAGCGGAACCCAAGTGTCTGCTCCCTTCTTTAAGAGGTCTGGAAGCAGATGGTTCCCTCTGCAGCAGAGAGGACCTGCCCCCTGGAGCATGAACACCCTGGGGGTGCTCTGTGCCACGCTGCTGACTGTCCCAGCCCCACGCCTCTCCTTGCCGGCAGGGCCTTACTTGGACACAGAGCACCAGACTTGGACCAGCACCTTGAGGGTGCTCTGTTTTCCAGACGTTTCCTCTCAAATGAAGAGGTCATGAGCACAGGGTAAACCTGCTTTTCTTTCCTTCCGGAAACCCCCTGACCATGGCTCCTCCTCTCCCCTGATTATGTACGGAGACTTTGGGTCAAAATTGAGTGTGATGGTGAGGTGTTTTGGTACCTAATTGCAGGCCACCTATTTCAAGGAAAGGGCCTGTCCCGGGGACCTGTGGCCAGGGGTTGGGGGGATACCGAGGGCTGCAGTTCTCACTGGGTCGGGGTTTGGGCAGGAAGAAAGCCTTCACCCAGGGGACTCTTATTCCCATGGTGGGCTGGGTGAGGACTAGATAGGAGATGCTGAGGAAGGAGAGGCAGCATGAAGAAGGACCTGTGATTCACTATGGTGCCACAAGTGGATTCTTCGCTAACCAGCTGGCCACCAACCCGGTGCAGCCCAGACCCTGGACCCAGATTACTTGGAGTCATCTTGGAGTGTCATCCAATTGTCCACAGCTCCCCAAGCACTTCCCGGTTCCCACTTGCCATTCTGTCAATAAGGGTGGGTGGAGATGGAGCGAGGGGAGGTTTTAGGACCATTGCATCGCTGCTATAATAGCATCAGACCCTTAGAGGTAAAAATGACCCTTGATTGCTTCTTACTAGGAAATAGGAAAATTGAGAAAGGGGGACAAGGAAAAATGCAAAATGTGTTTCTCCCCTGCTTCCTAGGCTTCTCACCTCCACAGTATAGTGAATTCTGCTTATAAAGCACATCATTACTCCTAGGAATTGGTTATTGTTGGTAGGCAAGCCACGCCCCTACCTTCTGCTAGGAGTCCTTGGATCCAGTGGGGAAAACATCAAAATAGTAGCAAATTATCTCATAGAGACTAAAAAATTCTGTGATTTTCTGTGCTTTAAGATGGTGACAGATTTGATTTTTGACAGGCAGGGATGAGGCCTCATAATTGTAGGGTCCTTCTAAATTTTGCGGCTGTGATTAGATTCTGTCACTCTGCACCACTCACTTGGACCAGGACCAAAAGCCTAGTCCCCAAATAGGATAATTTTTTGCCTTTTTTCTTTCCTAGAAAGAGAGTAAGCACTCTGTGACCTTTTCCTGGCTCGTCCATAAAAATGTGGTTGAATCATGCATTGTCCTTTCAGAATTCCCCAGCATCTAGATATGGCCAACTCTCCACTATGCACGCTTCAATGCAGCCAGGATATTATCTGGACATCAAATATCAATCGCCACTTACACTCAGGTTTATCGGGTTTTGTTTGTTTGGTTGATTGGTTTTTGGTAGGGAACAGAAATAGTCTATAATTATTTATGCCCAGTTTCCCCAACTTCCAAAAATTTTTTATACACCCCTACCATGATGACCTCTCTCCCTCCATTAGGGTTGGAACAGACAAAAGAAAGAGAAGGGAAGTCAAGGTATGCCACAGGGGGAGAGCTGGATAGAGGAAAGAAAAAGTCACATACAGAAAAGGACACTAATGATAGGGAAAGAAATTTTATTTTCAAGCTTTTAAGAGAAGAATACAAACAACAGAGAGTTTTAAAAAACCCTAAAAACTAGTTTAAAAAAGTACTTGACAGTGTCCCTTTAATACCCATGGATGGCGCGGCCATTCTCATTGACAATGAGAAACTCTGCAGGTGACCACCCCAGTGACCTTCCTGGCAAGGTCCCAAGAACCAGCAGGCTGGGCTGGAGGGACAGTGCTCCCTGCCAGGGTCCCGGGGCCCTGCCCAGCTGCATGGGAGGGCAGGGGAGAAAGTAGCACTGAGGGATTACTGCCCTCGGGTGAGGGTTCCGAGCTGCAAGGAATACTGAGATTGGTCTCCACTCTACTCTTTGGGGCACATCCAGCCAATTTCCTCCCATCCGCTACAGCAGCTATCCTGGGGGGCCCTGGGTGGGAGGTGGTCTGTCCTAGGGGGCCCTGGGTCTCTGCATGCGCCAAAGCAGGAGAAGGCATGACATTGAGCATGTCCTGGCCATGGGCAGCGTTGGGTAGTTGGGAAAGTCGCTCCTGGATTGACAGCTTTGAAGGCTGAAGCCACAGCAGCAGGACTGTGCTTGAGATACCCACAGGAAGTCTGTACTTTTCTCTAGTTGTGTGTGTGTGTTTCTTGTAAACATCTTTGAGCCAAACCACCAGAAAATAAAGTCACAAGGGCACAAAAAGACACCCATCTCCAAACCTAAGCCCTCTTTGAGCCCATCTGAAATTGGGAGGTCCTGGTTTGGAAGGAAGGCAAAGTCTCCCTCCTTCCAGGGGCTCACACCAACATCTCCCCCTCCCCCTGCACATTGCCCCAGAGTCCCTAAAGCCATCTGAGTCAGGAATCCTGCCCACTCAGATGACCCCAGGGGCCACAAATGCCATCTGTCATCCTTGCCAGCCCACACCCATCCCTCTCCCTCCCCACCACTGCCCCAAAAACAGCCCAGGGAGAAACAAACAAACTCAAGGGGAAAACAAGACAGGCTACAGTGCTTTTCCTTTGCACACTCTTTGCCTCTTTGCATTTCTTCTCCCACCGCTCGTGCACGCAGGGGCACCTCCACCACCAACTCACCGTCGCCCTCCCCAAGCCTCCTTTTCTCCCAGGTGCTTTGTGCATGGGCACATCTGGGACTTTTGTCCTTGTGTTTTGTTACGTTCAAGCTGTATTGCACTTCCTTGTTGAGTTTGTACTGGTTCTTCTTGCTCTTGTTGGAGAATGGGGGTTGACTGATTAGAATCACGAAAAGCGCTCTGGACACCAAACTCACTCACTCCAGCTCTGACCCTGCTTCCAGGGCCCCACAAGACCCACCACCTTCTGCCAGCCCTCTGCTCCGGCCCCTGGGATGCCACTTTGACTCCCCACACCTGCTCCCCAGACTGTGGCCTGCCGGGCCTTGGCTCCTTCCTGGCCCAGCCTCCCCATCTCTGTGCATGGTCACGGTCTCCTTTCCAGGTCTCTCCCCTCACACTGTCGTGACCCTCATGACAAGCTCCCGGCTCCCGCCCTGGGGGCTCCGCTGTTCATGAGGTCGTAAGTGACTCAAGATGTGCAGGATGGTGTAAGCACAGTGGTGATCGGACACAGGGCCTGAGGGGTGGCTGGCCGCCCGGGCAGGGCCTTCCTCAGGGCCAGGGGCGCCCATGGTCTCCTCTTCGGAGGAGGGGGCATTGGCCTGGGTGGATGAGGAGGTCCGAGGGTTTGTCCTGCCTCCTGACTTTTGTTCCTCCAGGTCTTTTGTCTTGTCATAGTTCATCACTTTCCACTGCTGGTTGACAGCCTGCCACCGTTTAAAAATGCGGTACACAGAGGGTCCCTCGTGCACGATGAGACCTGAGGGGGCCGGGAGGGAGAAAGAAAAGAAAAGGACAAGAGACAGGAAGTCACTTCCAGAAAAACGGTCTCCCTATATTCATACACAGATATAGATGTAGGGGCAAGCTGGGTTGGTATCGGTTTGATTTGTTCTTTTCAAGCCTCCCTTTCAGATCTGACCCCTGTATTCCTAGGCTCCACGAGTCTTCAGAAATAGAAGGTGCAAGGCCACCGTACTGAGTTCGTGAAATCGTCAAGTGCCTACATGCAACGCGTTTGCCCACCTCTCCTCCACCCTTTCCACTCTTGGCTTGGCAAAACCCAAAATCATCATCTGTTGAGGCATAATAGAAATATATTTTCCTCCCTCTGCTATATAGCCATGGCACCTCGCACCGAGCAGATATTGAATGAACTGTGTGCTTTCAAAGGTGCCATGAAAGATTCCAATGGTCATTCCATGCCAGCAAAATGATGTCTGGAAATCCATTGGTTAACTTTCTGCTATTTAACAAATTGCCCAATTCTACTGAAACAAAGCCCTGGGGAAGAGAACTTTGACACAGTTATACTGGCCAGAAGCAGTGTAAAGTCAGAAAGAAGCCATACCAGACAACCAGGAAGATAAATATTACGTGTCTATTATGTGCCAAGCACTGGGGCTGGTGCAGTGAACAGCACAGGCAGAGTCCTGCCCTCCAAGAGCTTATATTCTAGTAGAGAGACAACAGCAGGCACATAACCAAACTGATAAGACCATTTCAGGTGCTGACAAATGCTATGAGGAAGATCAAATAGGGTTAAATAATCACCGACTACAGACACTGAGGGTCCTGCTTTATCGAGAGGGTGGTGGGAAAGGCTTTTGGAGGGAGGTGATATATACATTGAGACATAAATGATGAGAAGTGGGGACCATGCAAAGATCTGGAGAGAGAGCATGTTGGTGGTAGGAACTGCTAGTGCAAAGGCCAGGAGGTGGGAATGGAATGCACATGCAACAAAAACAAGGTCACTGTGACCAGTGTGCAGTGATGAGCAGGAAGTACAAGGGAATAAGGGGGCACAGAGGTCAATATGATAAGGCCTTTTAAGCCATGGCAAGGGATTTCTATTGTATCCTGAGTATAATGGGAAGTCATTAGAGGGTTTTAAGGGAGGGGTGAGGGGTGATGTGATCTGGTTTACCCTGCAGAAAGTTCATTCTGGCTCCTGTGAAACAAGAAAACGATGAGGGAGAACATTATGAGCAGGTGACAAAGCAGGAAGTGCTTCAAGTAGTGATTCAAACAGGAACAGATGGTGGCCTTGACCAGGGTTAGAGCAGTGGGTTCCATGAAAAACTGTGTGGTCAGGACATATGTAGAGGCAGAGTTCACAGGCTCACTGACAGGTAAGGTGTGAGTCAAGCGAAAACTCTGGACAACCCTGGAGCTTTTGGCCAACAGTAGACTAGTGGTGGCCACTTACTGAGATGTGGATAGCATGAGGGTGGAGAGTGAGGATTTATGTGGTGGTTGCCATGACTATTAGTTTCCTATTGTTGTTGTAACAAATGACACAGTTAGTGGCTTAAAACAACACACATGTATTCTCTTATAATTCTGGAGACAGAAGTCTATAGTGAAGGGATCAGAGGGCTGATGATGGCTTTGAGAGAAGAATCCATCTTATTGCCTTTAAGCTTCTAGAAGTCTACCTGCATTCTCTGTCTCCTTCTTACATCACTCCACCTCTTTGTTCCAATGTCACATCTCCTACTCTTCCGTCATTGTCTCTCTCTGCATCTCTCTTATAAGAACCCTTGTGTTGGGGCACCTGGGTGGCTCAATTGGTTGGGTAGCTCACTTTGGTTCAGGTCATGATCTCATGGTTTGTGAGTTTGAGCCCCACACTGAGCTCTGCGCTGACAGCTCAGAGCCTGGAGCCTGCTTCAGACTCTGTGTTTCCCTCTCTCTCTGCCCCTTGCCTGCTCATTGTCTCTCTCTCAGAAATAAACAAATATTAAAAAATTAAAAAAAAAGAATCCTTGTGCTTACAAGTCCACCTAGATAACCCACGATACTCTCCCCATTTTAAGATTCTTAAATTAGTCATATCTGCAAGTCCCTTTTGCCATATAAGACAACATTAACAGGCTCCAGGGATTAGGACCTGGATGTCTTTGGGGGTCATTATTCAGCCTTCCACTGTGATTAATAGTTATATTTTGATTATGGTAAATTTAAGATGTCTGGTAGAAGTTTCACTGGAAGAGCTAGGTAGACAGTTGAACATATGAGTCTGAAGGTTAGGGAGAGGTCTGGCCTGGAGGTAGAAATCATCATTGTAGAGGTAGAATCTGAAGTCTTAGGAATGGCCCAGGAAGGCAGACCGATTAGAAAAGAGGGCCAATGACAGATTCCTGGGCCTTCTGAGGTATAGAAGTTTGGAGGAGGTAGAGCCAGCAGAGGAGGTCCTGAATGAGCGATAAATGGTGTAGAAGCAAGACCAGGAAGTGTATAGACCCAGAAGTCTAGAGAAGGACATGTTTCAAGAAAACGAGTGGGCTAACTCTTAAATTCCGTTGAGAAAACAGCTCATGTGGAATGAAGAGTGACCACTGGCTTGGTGGGCACAGGTGGAGAAAGGTTAATAGATGTGAAAATCAAGTAGTTCTCATCCAAGTGTCTTTTTCTTCTATGATGTCATCAGCTAGGATGGAAGGGATACAAGAGGAAGTGTTGAAGATTGTTGGAAAGAAGAAAAAGGGGGAAATGATTATCTTGGAAAAGTGGGAGACTGAATTTACAAAGAAGATATGGTAGAATTGTCTGACGGTGTTGAGTGTCCATTTGAGATCTGTGGCCACAAATTTGAGGTGAGTTGTGTAGTTTCTCTCCAAACTTCAACTGCTGGCTAGGTGCACCTATGGAGTAAGAAAGTTGGGTTTAATTAGTGTAGACTTTTTCCATGAAAGCAAGACAGGCAAGAGAGGACATGAAGGAATTATGGATGTTGGCAAGGGAGGGATTATCACAGTGGCCCATGGAGTCTGAGCTGGGGAGGAGGAAAGGGATACACAGAAGGGATAAATAATAATGAAAAGAAAAAATGGAAAGTAATAGGGTCAATGCCAAGACATCTCTTTGAAGTTATAGAATTGCTAGAGTCAATGAGCTACAAGGATAGGGGTGCGAATGATGGGCAGAGAGAGAGAGATGTTTAAATCCAGACTTTGGTAGTGGTATTGTTCTTGGTGATGATGAGGTCTAGGAAATGTTCACTTGAGCAGAGGCTGAGATGGGCTAGAAGAAAAGGCCTGTGGAGTAAAGAGGTAATCAAGGAGTCAGACAGGTTATCTGTATCAGCCATCCTCAGTGCTATCAGACCAAATGCCCCTTTTTAATAACAAATATAGTTTAACACTCCCTTTTCTATCCTGAAGTGAAATTCATAAGGTAATATAAGCTACTATGTTTTCTTTTTTTTAAAATAAGTTAATATAATGCCCTGACAAATAATGTAAAGAAATCATTTAGACCAGACAATATAAATTTCAACATAAATTCTAGGGAACAACTACATTCAAAAACAAACAAAAAGCTTCAAATGTTTCCAAAATGCCCCCCCCCCCCCCCCGGCAGAAGATGGTACCACCTCCGCTGAGAGGCACGGATCACAGAGATGCTGAAGACGGGAATAGTGGGAGGGGGTGCATGAACCAGGTACACCCAGGAATGTGAGGAGTAGGCAGCCAGCAGCCAAGAGCATCAACAAGGGGAAAGGGACAGCCAAATATGATGACATGCACTTCAAAGGGAGCTTCTGAAGGATAAAGGAAGACAGGCGGTTTGGAAGGGGTGATGGAGAATAAGGAGGATGCGGACCTCACCTCCAGGCCCTGTAGAGTACAGTATATGGGAGAAAGAGAAGCTACCACTTGAGGCAGCAAGGAACGGTGTCCTCAGATACAGCTGTTTCCATGAAAGGAACACTCAGAGAAGAAGTTGCTGGTGATGGACCATGAGGTTCAGAGAAAGGGCTGGAAGATGGGGCCAGCTAAGGGATGAGCAGAATAGGAAAATGATGGTTGTCCATATTGTGAGAGCGGTCCAGGAGCTGGGCCCTGTGTCAGGGAGTGACATGACTCGGGATTCACCCTGCAGCAACTGTCAGTGTAAGGACGGCTGCTGGCCTGGCCTCTGGAGGGAAGAGCTGACTCACAGGAGCGAACGGCGATGAGTCACTCCAGCATCCTCAATGTCAAGCAAAGATGGAAACCCTCAGAGCTCCTCCAACCTTGAACACACACTGATTCTAGGAGACAAGACAGCCACCCACTATCACTCTTTCCTCTAGTATGACCACAGTTCCTGAGATTGCACTCCGGCAATATGTTTTCAAAAGTTTGTTGGAGAGACCATCTCCCTGGGGACCAGTTGTTCTTAGTCTTTTGGATCAGATGCCCCTTTGAGGATCTGATGAAGGCTAAGAACCATCTCCCTGGAACACAAACCAGACAGATGAATTTCAGGTTTATATATCTCTTGAAGACCACCTATGGACCCTTTGCTGTGGCCTGACTCTGGACAAGGTGACCTCCTCTCTGCCCCTTGTCTCATCACCGTCTCCCAGCGTGCTGACCTCATCACTTCCTTCAACCTTGTGGACATGAGTCCTATGGCACTGCTGCATTCATATGTTAACTAGTTCCACAAACTCTTTCCTGGACTGTAAGCCCCTCGAGGACAGAGGCCAGGAACGGTTGAGGCCTGGGCAGCCAACACAGTAACAGGAGTCTAATGAAGCCTCGGTGATGATGGAGGAGATGGGAGTCTCAGGGAGAGAGAAGCAGAATCTTTTGAGGCCCCAAACTAACTCTTTCCAGTAAGAGCCATACACTTGGTTCTTAATTAGCTTCTTGATCACACAATTTTACCCTGATTGAAGAGGGTGGCTTAAATTTTTGGTCTGAACGCTGCCTTCTAATTATCTAACTGTCTAGTGATCAGGAAGTAATTAAACCACTTTAATGG